GTTTTATATTACCTTTGTTGTATATTACCTTTGTTTTATATTACCTTTGTTGTATATTACCTTTGTTTTATATTACCTTTATTGTATATTACCTTTGTTGTATATTACCTTTGTTTTATATTACCTTTGTTGTATATTACCTTTGTTGTATATTACCTTTGTTTTATATTCACATGTGCATATTTTTGTGCAATAAACAATAATTTCTCTAGTTTCACTGGGAATTTTGTATCCATCAATCTGCGAGAAGCCTGTTTAACTTTTTAATTTTATAAGCCTTAGTTTAACAATCAGTGTTCTGGAATTCTTTAGGTATAAAAATTGAATATATATATATACTGCGCTCTTAAATAGTGTTATGTAATGTATCGTGTTAAAATCTTTCATTTTGATGCAATCATCCTCACTTTAGTAATCAATTAAAACATGTATATTTGTTTGTTTGAAGGTAAGCACAAAGCAACAATCTGCCCACCAAGGATATCGAAACCCGGTTTCTAGCGTTGTAAGTTCGCAGACGTACTGCTGTGCCACTGGGGGATGAAAGATGTATATAAAAACAAAGGTTTATAATTATATGATAAGACACATATACAAGTATCATTTCTGAAAGTAGATTTGTATCAAATGCTTTATTTTGGTTTGTAACCTAACAAATTCTATAATTAAGTTTTACATCACGGTATAATATAAAGCACTAATTTTGAGAGGTAAGTGTTGTATAATAAGTTTAATATTGTAGTATATAACTTCTTAGTCTATATCAACAAGGTAAAGGCAAACGTAAGTACAGTGAAACGGGGGTTAGTTGTAGTTCTATCAAGGTCATCTAAGTGTTCGAAATTAGATTTAATTAAACGACGTAATATCTAATCAGATAACTCAGCACCATGTTATATGACCTAGTAAACTTATTTACATAGCTCAGGTTTTCGATGTATGATCTAATCAACATTGACCAATTAACTCAATTTCATGATGTATGATCTAAAATATATTAGTTAAGTAACTCAGCATCATGATGTATGATATAGTAAATATTAGTAAAATAACTGAATATTTTGGTGCAATATGATGCAATACAAACATTCTAATTAATTAACTCAACATCATGATGTATGATCTTATATGTATTAACTAAACAGATAAGCATCCTGATATGTTATTTAATAAACACGAATTAAACAATAAAACACCGTGATGTATGATCGTATGAGCAACATATATTCAGCAAAATATTAAGATTAAATTAACAATACTCAAGCTGAAAGGTTTTCACAGAGTTGTGCTACTTAAAATGGGATTTTACCATTTTTACACAACATAGTTTTAATAATCCTGACCGTGTGGTTTGAAACTATTAATTTTCGAAAACATTGGGAAATGATCAAAACCTGTTTAAAAGTTTTAGTTATTATTTCAATACTACAGAGAGAATTGCTTTCACTGTTTAACTTTTCGCTGTCCGGCTCTGCTACATAAAATGTATAACTGTCCGGCTCTACTATATAAAATGTATAGCTGTCCGGCTCTGCTACATAAAATGTATAGCTGTTCGGCTCTACTGCATAAAATGTATAGCTGTCCGGCTCTACTATATAAAATGTATAGCTGTCCGACTCTGCTACATAAAATGTATAGTTGTTCGGCTCTACTGCATAAAATGTATAGCTGTCCGGCTCTACTACATAAAATGTATAGCTGTCCGGCTCTACTGCATAAAATGTATAGCTGTCCGGCTCTACTATATAAAATGTATAGCTGTTCGGCTCTACTACATAAAATGTATAGCTGTCCGGTTCTACTACATAAAATGTACAGCTGTCCGGCTCTACTTCATAAAATGTATAGTTGTCCGGCTCTGCTACATAAAATGTATAGCTGTCCGGCTGTGCTACATAAAATGTATATTTTGTTGTTGTTATTGTTCATCCCCGACAGACGTTTTGATTGTGAGTTTTGAAGTTATTAAATAATTTTAAAATATGCTATATAATTATACAAGTATTTTATTTTCCAGAATAGAAACCATTCTCTGTCAATGTTTAGTTATATGATCAAGTGAGTGTTCGCCTTACAAAATGGGCCAGTCCCCAAAATTTTGAGAACCATTTATTTGGACTAATGACATCTTGAACATATACACTGGTCAGTTTACTTATTTGTTAGTTTTACGCAAAGCTGGACAATGAGCTGTACATTGCTGGGAACCGAATCCCGTATTTTATAGCTGACTCATTGGGTCGAAAGCAATAAAATTGATAGGAAGTAAATCAATTCATTTCATTTCTGTAAAATTAGTTTCCTTACAATTCTATTTGATAAAATTTAATTTTTACGTAAAACTCAAATTATATTGTTATTTTTTTCTTAAATCCTAAGTGTTGAGAAACAAAGGGTAGGGTAGGCAATGCAGGTTCCCAATTATTGTAAATAAAGTACAGCCAGCTTCCCTTAAACCAATAGCAGAAATCAGTTTTATAAACAACATTCTTATTCTGTTCGATGCTGTATGCAGGATTACTCGGTTTTTTCTTTATTATGATTTGTTAGTTGTATTTAGTTTAGGGGATTGCTTGAAATATTAAGATTAATGATTAGAACCGATCGATCATCGATTATAAAGGTTAGCGAGACTTTTTATTTTTAATTCAAATTTAAATAAGAAACTGCAAATTTTCTGTGTTTCTTTGAAATGTTTTTAAATCCGTCCAGGATAAATTCGAAAGGCTTAAGCTTTGTGCACGAATATCTTATAAAAATCATCGCCTTTCATTTTACACAGAGTGAATTTCAAGCAACAAGTTTGTAATAGTTTATTTTCAGAGAGATTAAATTTCATGAATTGTTTCAGGCCTTTATTACATAAAAAACTGGGTTTCTTGACTGTTAACCAATGCTATGTTTGACTTATTACATGAAAAGCTAGGCTTCTTGATTGTTAACCAATGTTATGTTTGATTTATTACATGAAAAGCTGGGCTTCTTGATTGTTAACCAACGTTATGTTTGATTTATTACATGAAAAGCTGGGCTTCTTGATTGTTAACCAATGTTATGTTTGATTTATTACATGAAAAGCTGGGCTTCTTGACTGTTAACCGATGTTATGTTTGATTTATTATATAAACATCCGCTTTTCTTGCGATGATGTTAGGAATCAAGAATATAACAAAAATATAAAAACAAAATAAGCCGGAAAATAATCCTTTAATCGTTTATAGTCTATTATGGAAAATCATAATTCACCACTTGATCTAACCACCAATATTTAATTATTCTGACTAACTTAACCGTTAGCCTCACAAGGATCGAAGGGTTGTGTCACAAACGTATGAAAAAGATTAATTTGTCGCTTTTAACTTTCAGTTGTAAGTAGAATCGATACATGATGTGGTTTTGAAAATAAGTTACCAGCTTGTTTAGACCTTCTGAGATGTGTAATATGAAGTCTGTATTATGGTTAGAGTAATCATAATCAATGGCGGAAGGAAGTTAACATCAAAATGGACAGCGGAAGGTGAATCTATTTTCTTCCGGAAGAATAAAGCAGAAACATAAATTTTCAAAGAATACGGTGTAATTTTAGAAAATAAAAGAAACAATAGCACTATGGATGAAGTTAATCAAACTAAACATGTAGAGTTGATGAACAGTAAATACGGATTGACTTGGGTGTTTAAAACTTTTAATGACGTATGCTATAGTAGTTTTTCCCCCTGAAACTGATAGGATAGCCATACTGGAAATGTTGAAATATTCTGGATATTCCTCCTTCTTGTGTGGATCTGATATCATACAAATATAATATGGTACAAGCAGTCTTTAACAACAACAAAAGAAGTAATATTTATTAAATATTAGAACATGAATGAAGAAAAAAATACCGAATATTGTCGAGCTATTTGCTCTTAAATTTGGTCCTCAGTGACTCAGCAATAAGTCTGAAAGCTAAAAATCAGATTTCAATAACTCTGGTGGACACAGCACAGATAGTCTCTTGTGTATCTTTGCAACAAACAAACAAGGCTACTAAATTTGATAAAAAAGTCTGTACTAATATAGTGGATATACTTCTTTAGGGACTGACGGCAACACTTGTTTTAATTGTAATTGCTAATTTGATGCACTGTAATATAATAGGTGAGTACAGGTCAAAATATTTAGTTTATGCCTTTATCTTGTTTTCATATTCCAGTTACATATGGAAATAAACCATGGATTATGTATTTTTCTCGACTTTGAAGTTATTTATAAATTTTATATTTTATCTTAGTATATCAGTTGTCATAAGTTAGACGTAGAGGATCGATGGCGAACCTTAAAAAAAGTAAGACCCCGTACAAAGCCAGTATTGCTATAAAGTAAGACCCCGTACAAAGCCAGTATTGCTATTTTTTCCTTTAATGTTTCTATTATTTGTCAAAATCTCGTTTTTCAACAGCCACGAGACTCTACAAATGTACAGGAGTAAAGAACCCTGAAGTTAGTGATTTTCAGACTTGAAGGCGTTATGGGATGCTAAAATCGAAGTCTATATGCACATACTTTACTGAAGGATTGGAAGAGTATATAAACAAAGATTTTTTTTTAATGGCTCAAACTAAGAGTAAGCAGATGTTAAACGTAACACACAGTTGGTTTCATTATAACTTTGATATAGTGCTGTCCTCTCTTGGTGTACATTGAAAGTCTCGTCGTTTGATATTTCTTCAATTCCAAATACGGACTACTGTATCCCATGAGCAGGACGCTAGCGCCATTCCGTTGTCAGGGAGACTTATGGACGTAACGCGATTTTCATGCCCTGGAAGACTACCTGAAAAGTACAAGGGATCGAAGGGTTGTGTCACAAAAGATTAATATTTTTTCTCGATTATCAATTCATGAAAGTGGATTAGCAGAGTTACATATAGTTTCGTATATACATACGCAAGTGCTCTTAACGTATTAAGTACATAATCTCAAACTATGTATTTATGAAAATATCTCATTAAGATTTTTCTGTTTCAATCATGGTAAAAAGCATCTAATGTATAAAAACAAATGGCACTGTTACTTTTAAGAAAGGTATCATCCGGCCATTATATGTGAAAATCATTGATAGTTAAGTTAGTTCCTTGGTGAGGTTTTTTTAGATGTTAAGTTTAATGGAGTTGAGTAATTCAAAATTACTATTTTGATGCATGAAGCAAAGTCCAATAATATTATCAATATTGATCAATATATAAAAAATTGCAAAAAAAAATTAAACAAGTTTTCCAAGTATCCAACATTGTTTCCAATTTTTAGTGAAACGTAACAATCTTTCAAAGTTTTAATCCTCTTCTGGTACTGCCGTGGAGCTTACTTCCAGGGATAAAAAAAAACCTGAAACTAGCTTAGATAAAACAAAAGTTTTAGGGATATCTGATTGCAAACCACGTTCTTATGCAACTCATTTCCTAACAAAAATACATATCTTAAAATGTGGTTGTTGATGTGTAAAAAAAGAAGAAATATTTTAGAATCATAATGAGGAATGCTAGGAGACCTTAAGATAATTGTCCTAACGTTTGTTTGTTAATACTCAATTTTCAGCACATTCTTATCTCCGTTAGGGGCTATTTGTTGACCGCATTTTATAACACATTCTTACCTCGTTTTGTGGTTTGTGATTTTCACAGTAATTCGACTTGAAGGCGTTATGGAATGCTAAAGTCGAAGCCTATATTCATATACCTTATATTCTTACCTCGTGTTGTATTTTGTTTCTTGATCTCCATTTACAACACAATCTTACCTTGTATTGTTAGAGATTGTTGATCTCAGTTTACAACACATTCTTATCTTGTCTTGTGATCTGTTTCTTGATCTCCATTTACAACACAATCGTACCTTGTATT